TTGCAAAATAGTCGGTGAACATAATATGCTTTCAGTAAACATGACTTAATCAGTAGGGGGAGGGAGATAAACTTAACTAAATGAGTTTAATCCAACATCATTTGCTTTAGCTAATTATTTTTTAATTATGGAAATTTCCTGGCAACTATAAATGGAGAGGATTTTGAATTTATTTATTTTTTTTGCCGACTCACTTTCAAACTTCTCCCCATACCCCAGGAGTATTTACAAACAAATCCCAGCTATCACATCTAACAGCATTTTAAAATAAAAAACTGGCCTTTACTGAGACCACTACTAATTTTACTTAGGGGCCTAACCTTTGATAATGCTTCTTTGGGTTGGCACATGGTACAAAGTAACAAAGGCCATATACATTCTTGGTGATAGGAAGAGGAATCAAAATTGGTATAGATATATTGATTAGAACTCAGGCAATAGAACTCAATAAATATTATTTCTTTCCCCAGATGCTATATATATATATAACATAACTTCAGTTTCCATTAGTAATTGATTCAAGTCTCTTAATATGTCATCTCCTGGATCGAGTTGGCTAGTCTAGACAAAAATTTCTTTAAAAGCTCGTGGGCACAAAATTCTGCTTCAAATCCTGCTACTTCCATTATAAGTGACCATTGAGTACTTCTCACAAAGAACTATTAACAGGATTAACACTATTTCAAATTATTACTATCGGAGAAAAATCCAGCTATTTGATTAAAAAAAATTTTTTTTTCATTGAAAATGGTGTCTCCCAAAGTGGGTGCTACTGGGGGTGCTGGAACAATGCAGGGAGTGACAAAAGCAGATACCTACACTTTATCCTGGACTATGGGCTATAGTGCAAATGGTTTTTATTGCCTGGGGAGGATGCTGAGTGATTTTTAATTTTTTCTGTAAAGACGGTGGTAGGCCAAGTAAGTGTGGGAACCTGTGATTTAAATGGTAACATTTCACAGTTCTTATAATCAATAAAGGAAGAAGAAAAGGATGAGTAAGGAAAAAATTAAAGGCTTAGGAAAAAGCTGATGACAGATAAAGAAAGGACAGAATGTTAATAAATTAAGCTTTTGTCTGAGTTCTCCTTTAATTTGATGCTGGTCTCTTAACTATAAACCTGCACATAAGCCTGTAAATGTTTTACTCATATTTAAGGTCACCCTCACGCCAATTGCAATGAAAAGATTCACAAACAAAACCTTCCTCAGTCAACTGACCCTTTTCCCAAAGAATTTCCACACTTAAATGTTTGGGATGAGCACAAAGGAAGCCTCTGAGTCAGGGTCTGTGCTTGGAAAGCCAGGCGGTACACACAGCAGGTAGGTGAGTTACCTGCCAGGTTCGCCACAGTGAGTTACTTGCCAGGTTTGCTTTCAAATGTTACACCTTGGGGAAGAAGTTAGAGGGGTGCCACCATACCCAATAATAACAAATGCCAGTGTATTTACTTTAGAATGCATATGTCTACTGTATACAGACTACTTTTATGAAGCAATGGAACTGTGCTGATTCATGTGAGTCTCCTAAGGATGCTGAATTCTTACAATTCGACATAGGTTCCCAGTTGTCTTTTTTTAATGGTGGGTTTTAGATTAACCAGCTTACTGTTAGGGTATTAAGAATGCTAGTAATTAGGTTCATTCTACTAAGGTTCACAGTAAAACAAAGTAGGCACAGGCAGAGAGTTAAAGGATAGGTACACAATAATTGGAAGTCTTGGGTGATAGGTAGCTCTTCAATGGCAAGGGAGAGGGTGGGATATAGGAGGTGAAGGAAAGGGAATTAAAAGGCTTGTCTTTAGAGAAAACAGAGTGTCTAAAGACACTTACACCCAAACCTTTCAACCTCTTTAGTGGCTACTGCCATGCTTTTTGGGGATTCACCCCCATTTGATGCATATTGTAGAGGTCTTATGAAGCAAGTCACATTTTTGCTAATTCCAGAATTATCTGAACCACCATACTGATGCATTCGTAAATAATCTCCCCCAATAGACTACACTTTCTTTGAGCCAATATCACTTAATCATGCAACAAAACCATCATGGAAACCAGTTACGCCCACTGAAGATTTCCCTAGGGAAGCTCCCTTACTTAATGTTGCAATAATGAATGCCTGCCTACTTTAACTTCTTTTTCTCAACCCCAGAGAACATCTAGTTCAACTTTCACTTCAGTTTTTTTTTAATTAAAAAAAGTTGAAACAATAAAGAAACATCTTTCAAATATCTAACTTTTATCATTCCAAAGTTTAACAAAACTCTCTATATGAGAAAACCAGTCTGCTTATCTGTATTTTATTTCAACTGTGGCAGACTTGGTTCTTTTTATTTTTAATTCCAACTATACCAAAGTAAAAATAAAGAGTTCATCATATATATTTTTTTATTCATTTTTTTTTAAGAAAACAAAACAAAATAAGGGGGAAAGTTACATTCATGGACTAAAATTGAGCGAAGACTAAAACCTAAAAAAAATTTTTTTGCAACAAAAGACCATGAAGGGTCTCAAACATATCAATTGATAGACAGATACTCTAGCAAAATCAATGTTGCTATTTTAAGAAGCAAAGGACCCCGGTAATTGTTTTTATTCCTAAATATTTAGGTGTAACACGAAATCATGAGCACTTGTTAACATTGCTGATGAGACAGGATTGAGACAAATAGATCTGGTGTAGTATACATTTACCCTTCAATTAAGTAAATGCCTTGAGTATTCCTGTCTCAAATGAAAAAGAAAAAAATGCAAATAAACAAATGTGGCTAAAGCAACACCAAACAAGACCCACTCTTGTCCGGCTGAACTAAGAGACACCCTGCAGGGAGTCAAAGGCTGGAGTCCTAAGGGCAGCAGACTGCCACCTCTTTCTGTTGCAGGACCGAGGCTGGGTGCCAACCACCACTTTCAGTTAGCGGCTGCACTATCTCACCACCTGGCCTCTAAAGGTTGCTTTAAGGCCCTAGGAATGTATTTTTAAACAAAGGCAACAGACATCTCTGAAACCCTTGAACATGAACCAATACGTGGCCTGCACTCTGAATACCACCACTTCTCTTTAAAAATAGGTGACAAAGGGTTCTGACTTCCAGCACCACCCTACTGTGAACAGCCCTACTGTGCCCTCACTGTGATCCCCACATCAGCACCAAGACCCCCTGATTGTGTGGTGATGGCTGGGTCCCCATTAAACCCGCTCAAGTTTTCACTGTCAAAAACTAAAATAAAATAAAATAATGGCCAGGATCATACTGTATTGATCCAAATTAAGAAATCTAAATAAGCGCGAGTCCATGACCTCTTCTGTGGCCAAGAAACAATTATCTAACTTCTAAACATTTGCTTTTTTTAGTTCCCAACCCGGACTTCTGACTCTACCTCCTCACGCCAACCCTCCCCTCACCCCCAACCCCAAGGGAAGTTTAAAGGGACTAATCAGGGAGAAGAGCACACAGGAATGAAGCCCCGCCTGGCTGGGGACAAAGGCTTACTGACCGCTGGCTGGTGCGGTAATAGAATGTTCTCTTCCCTCTCCACGTATCTGTTTCCTCCTTGTGACTCCACACTAACACCAAAGTTTGGGCAGTTTGGTATTATTCCCACTTCAAAGACAACGAAACAAAACAAAAAACCCACCCTGCGATGTAAAAATAAAGCTTTGGGCTCAAGTAGAAAGAAAATGTTTTGAGAATGATGAGGGCAACAACTGTACAAATGTGCTTGACACAATGGATGGATGGATGGATAGTGATAAGAGTTGTACAAGCCCCTAATAAAATGATAAAGAAAGAAAGAAAGAAAGAAAGAAAGAAAGAAAGAAAGAAAGAAAGAAAGAAAGAAAGAAAGAAAGAAAGAGAGAAAGAAAGCTTCTTGCCCTGACATTTGAGTTCTCAGAGACTAAAACCAGAAGCCAAGTCTCTGGACCCCCAAGCGCCGGGCTCCTGCCCTCCCTGGTGCCCCGCTCCCACGTTCTCACCCCACCATGCTTGCAGGGTTTCATGTTCAGCTCAGAACCCAGGCAAATTAACCGGCGCACTCCTCCTCGCAGAGCACCATGGAGAGGGCTCTCTTGGTTCTTAGCAGGATTACTGGGTAGTATTCAGATGTGCCAGCGATATTGTTAGAAAGGTGCACTGGAGATGGAACTTGAAGATGTCTTTGAAGCATTCCAGCTGTCATTTCCCACCTTGTCTCTGCCGTGTCACAAATAACAAAAAATAATAGCTGTTCAAGGTCAGAGCTGACCAGCAAGGAGGATCCCGTATGGCCCGCCTGTCTGAGGCCAAGGGAGGCAGGTGCTCAGCATGCCTGGCACCTGCTGGCTACAGTGCAGAGGTCTGACATGGTTTACAGTTCTGACACCCCTGTCACACAGTCCCACTTGGCCAAACACACCAGAGGATTCTCAAGGCCCAGCTCAGGAGTTTTTCTTCTCCTAACATTAATTTGTGGAACATTCACGTGGCACTAGGTAAAGGCTATGGACAACAAATTACAGAACAATTCTGCACAGCCTCATGGGAGCACCCGACCCAAAGAATGAGAACTGCTAAAGCAAAATTAGTTCCATAGGGCAAATGGACCCCCACTACAGGAAAAACCCTCAGAGAACAACAACAAAAACCCTACAATGTCTCCCTAAGGTCTTCCAGTACCCCCCAAAAGATTATAGCTTGCTTGAAGTGCCAACTTTTTAATGACAACTTACAGTTTTTACCAGGTGTTATTATATTTTTAAGGAGAGATAGAAAATAAACTTGAAGCCCCCTAACTGGACCAGCACCCCATTAGTGTTAGGGATATTCCAAGTCCTCCCCACCTCCTTTTTTTAGTTTTCTTTCTTTTTCTTTTTGCTAAAGTATTTTTATGTATTAAACTTATTCTGTATTTAGGGGGTGGGGGAAGAACAGTACTTCCACTAGAGCAAAAAGCTCAGAATTAACAACCCATCAAAATTCACAAGAGTAAGTGCGAACGTATCTGTTTATTTCAAGCATTCAGTGCTTAAGATTTCAACCAAAATGATCCATTCAATGACTAAATTTTTAAAAAGATACACCATTTCTTTCATTCTCTTTCAAGAAAAACAACAGCACAAATTAATACAGCAGAGGGTAATGGAAACAAGATCATATTTAAAACATAACTTAAAAACACAAATCACCTTGAGATTAGAAAGCATCATGTGCAATTGCTGGGAACAAGAGCCAATGAGAATGCAATACAGACATTTTTAATCTTACAGTGTTCACGTGCGCCATTTAGATCACAAACACTAAGTTTTTCATTCTCCTGAAAGATGAAAACACACATCTAAATAGGAAGAACTGTGCCTTGTCTGACTTTCACTCCGCAAGTTTTTTCTACATCCAGTAATAAGAAATGTGTACATTTTGGTCGAAGAGACCCCAATAAAATGATCTTTACAAAAAAAAGAAAAGGAATGTGTACTTTTAAGTGGTGTAGCGCAGGTGCTAATACAAATCCCTTACTTGTGTAATGCACACTTTTCATTCAGCAATATGCAGTTTACGGTAGGCTCTGAGTGGCCTGATTTCATGCCACGGCTTGGGGTGCTTCACTGGTACGGAGGCGCTAAAGCTAGAACTACGTTGTATCATACTGCAGCATACATACTGTATTGCCCCGTGCTAGTCTGATATATGCTGGTGGGCACGGCCATGGTAGCAATGTTAGGTGGTGGGCCTTCTTCCTCTGGTTTTTCTTCTTCAATCTTGGGAACACCAGGCACATCAGAGGAAAGTTCATTCAGTATTTTTCTAAAATAAAAATGTTACAATATCAATAATTAAAGGTACGGGGTGAGAGAGGGGGTCCAAAACAGCAAAACTACAACAATAGGCTTAATTTATAAATCATTCTCTTTTCAACAAAGTACCAGTAAAGTAGGAAACATCATTAACTTACCTATAAGAGGGTCTTCGTGAAAGGATTTCTCTACGTTTATGAGAATCAATTACACCTTCTGATTCTGCAGATTCATCTGTCTCTGCAATTGTTGCTACCTATAATACAAGAGTTTCTGAAATGCATCATAAAACAGATGAGCTTCTCTCCCTCACTCAACCAGCAATGCCAAGAGTGTAGGTGTGCAAACACCAAGCCAGGCGCTATGGTGGGGACCAGGCTGCAGGACGTGGGGAACCCTCAAGATGGAAACTCACTTAGAAAAGACAGAAACCCTGACGGTGTAAAGCCGGTGAATAAGGGAACGTGGCGGTGACTGGTACAGGGTAATAAAAGTCTACAGAAAGACAATGGCGAGATGCCAGGCGAGGAAGCGCAGGAGAAGACTGAGCGCAAGCTCTAAGGTCATCAACTGAAAGTTCCAACAAGGAGTGAGAAAGCGTCTGACGGAAACCGAACAAAGCACCTGGGCTTCCTAGTAACATTCCAGTGTCAGGATTCCCCTGGTGGCATTGGGTTGGGTCTTCAAATTAGGGACTAAGATGCACTGCCATTGAGCCAACTGTGACTCATAGAGACCTGAAAGAACAGGGTAGAACTGCTCCTGTGGGTTTCTGAGACTGTGATTCTTTACGGGAGTAGAAAGCCTTGTTTTTCGCCTGCGGAGCAGCTGGTGGATTCGAACTGCTGACCTTTCATTAGCAGTCCAAACAATAACTCACTACAGCACTAGGGTTGCTTCAAATTAGGGATTAGATACACACAAAAGAGAAAAAAGACTGGTGCAGGAAACAAATAAAGAAGCTTGGTTAAAGTTAGGATTTCTATTACAGGAAAAAGGTGTGGATGTGATGGTAGTAATGGTCTAGATAAAGAATTTCCCCTTTAAAAAAGAGCAGAGATTTTAGCATAATTTCATTTTTCATATCATGTAATATTTCATACAATAACATGATTACTACAAAAAAGTTGGAAAACTAAACTAGTAAATTCTACAGCATTATTGTACTCATTTAATATATTCAGCATTTAATTCTGAGAGTTTAAGGCCACTCCAAACTTAAACAAACAAACCAATCAGTATTACAATTACATGGGAATTGGACCTGGACAAACTCAAAAGAATGTGCTAAAATATCAACGATGCAGCAATGTAGAGAACCAGAAAGATATAACTCCCAGCCGACATGGATGCGTGTATGGGCTCACTTTTTACAAATGACCTGTAGCCCTGGATACCCAACACTCACACAATGGTAATAAAGACTTACTGGAAAAACTATTGCTGCATTGAGATAACCTTTTATCACTACCAAATAATGTTTTTCATGGTACACTGAGGCCTCTACACAACTTTCATGTACTCATCACAACACCCCTTGGTTCTCATTTACCCATTTCAGAGAAAACAGAAGAGACCAAGTGGCTTGCCCACTGGCCAACAGGGAGGCATTCTAAAACACTCTTCAGCAGCACCTATCTCTCTAGATTTCCTTCAACAAAAAGAGCCTACTGAATACAAGATGACACTTTCCTCCTATTCCAATCCAGTTAAAACTATAGCTCAATAAATATCTACCCCCTAGGAAAAGTCAGAATACAAGAGGATGGCAGAAAGACTTCCTTAGCGAATAACAATGGTTAGAAAAAAGTCAGACCCCTGGAAGACAGGGCCATCACAGAAACCCTATGGGCAACACACCCAAACAGCCTGTGACAAAGGGAGCCAGCTTTTGATGGCTGTAAATTTCCCATTTTAAATATCGTGTTGTAACCCTTATTCTTACTCCAGAATAAACAATACTCAAAGAGGCAAGAGAAGGACAAGACTGATGAATAATGCTCATCTTGTTTTCCTCACAGATTTTTTTTCTTCATCAATTAATGATGTTCAAATCACACCACATTTAAATAAGGACAACACACTGACCCAAAAGAGTAATAGAAATAAATTCCATTAACAAGAAGAATATGCTTCAAAAATACACCCATTAAAAACTACCGACTTAATCATTAACACATACTTATGCACACGCGCGCGCGCGCACACACACACACACACACACACACACACACACACACAAAGTTGCAGCGTTAAGGAATTTGAAAAATTATGACCAACCATGATGATAGTAAATAATAAAACATATCTCTGGAAGAACACCACAATTATGTCTATCAAAGCCAAAATTTAATCTGAGAGGAATGTGTGATATATAAGCACTATACTATGGTGCCACAAGATATCATTAGCCAGCAATGATGTATTCTCTCATCATAAGTAAATTTCTCCCTACCTACTGCCTGAGTGTTCATAAAAGCAGCATAGGAAAGGCAACCTGTCTATCACTGTGCTTATGACAACTTCTCCAGAGAACCTTCGAAATATCTGTAAGCATCGAAGGGCAGCTTCACTAAACAAACACTAGTTTAAGCCCAGAGCAACATCGAGTACAAAGTAAATTGGCATCGGAAAAGTGCTCATTGTGCAAATTAGGCACCGACAAGACTGCAAACCCTTAAGTGAGGTTTCGATACATGTGTCTAGCAGGGAGGGATGCTCTGCACACATCTAAAAAAGAGATCCTCCCAAATGTCTAATGACAATATTCTGCGCTTACAAGTTTCACGGAGAATCATATGGTGAATGACAAAACTGATGAAGGGAAATGAGGCTCGAGACAGTCAAAGACAAGCCACCCAGGAAGGACGCTAACCTGAACAGTCTGTATTGGTGGTGACTGAATAACCGATGGCTGTGGTGTCTGAAGGACTCCCGGGACTTGTACAGTATGGCCCGAAGGTAACTGCACTAGAGTTACAGCGGGGGAGCCTCTTCCGGTGCCTGATCCAGCTACAGAAACCTGCAAAAATGATCATCATTCAGGGTTATGGCTGAGCCTTTCTGGGGGTTCTTTCGTTCTTGGTTGGTTGGTTGACTTTCATAAATACCACTCACTATTATGACTAATCGGTCTTTCGTTCCTGTTCCCTGCTTCTAAGAAATGGCAACCAAGCGGCGGTACTTACCATTAGGAGGTAGTTACTGTCCTAGAACAGTCATTCTCTGATGTGATAAATATTAAAGAACCCATCGTCCTCATTTCAGTTCCCATGCTTCGGCGGCTAAGAATGTTCCCGGCAGAAAGTTCTCAGGCAGTTAAACTACCTCACTACGACCTCACCACTACTAACAGTGACACCTTTTTTAGGCCTGAGTATAAAGTGCCCTCTCTCACTTTTTGAACTCCACGTGTACTTAAGTGCAATGGAAGATAGAGCCTAAACATACTGAATCATTTTTTAATAGCTGAAACAGTTGGGCATATGGTGTTTTATTGCTAGATGAAAGCTGATACTTTTCCTCTCGGATGATGAAAATCCGTCACTTTTATGCCCCTATAATTACAAAAGCAGGCCAGACCAAAAAAAATTGTTATTTTTATCAGGACCTCTGATGCCCTTACTCTCTCTGAGCTAACCCGTGGGAGTTGGTGTCGCCTCCCCCCACTTTTACTCACCCCGGTGAGAGCACCTCCTGAGAAGGTGAGAACCATCTCACCGTGGGCAGAGGCAAACACAGCCAGCGTGAGGCTACCTTGAATGCTTTCCAGTGTGACCCCTACCGGCAAGAATGCAGCCCTCTCCCTCCTTCCTCCGCACTCAAAGCCTGCCAGGTTTCTTCCTTTGCAAGCAACTCTGTCCTCTAGGCCAGTGCGATCTTAGAAACTTCTCTTCACGTTGCTAAGACTCACCATTCATTTTCCTATGACTTATTCAAAGCTGTCCAAGACCCTGGAAATGAAATAAGCCACCAGGTTTCCGCCACGGGTCACAGTAGAACCACAGGATCTCTGAAGGAAGCCTCTGTGTGACCTCACTTTAAAGAACACCCAACCATTTCCATCTTTTATGCTAATAGGTCAAAAGAATTCCCACAAACTAGGCTTATATCTAATAATTTTAATACCTATTTACAACACTGTTCCCTTGGCAACCTGAAAGTAAACCAGCCACGCCAGACTCTGCATGTGTTGAAACAGCCAAGAAACAACAACAAACTGAGCAATAGAGGACTAATGACTCCATTGTGCAGGTCATCAACGTCACAGTGGTACAGAACAGAAAGACCAGTATGGGCTGGAACAGTTCACGAGGCTTTGATGGGAAGCCAGACCTGAGCTGGCTTTGGAAAGGAACCTCACTAAGGGTTGAAGAGAACGCGAGACACTAAGACAGGAGAGAGCCCACCTGCAACTGAAGGGCTACACCCATTGCCCCTGCCCCTGCGTACACATTGCCCAACTTCTATTTTCATAAGAACAGAAAAAGCTTACTCTAAATGAAGTCAGTAGAATTAACAATTACAAGTTCAAAAAGACTATTGGTGTGAATTACAAAAAGGTCCTCCCACTGTGTTGTCCAATCACCAAGAGGCATTCCTTTTTTGCATACCACTAATTCTGTAACAGGGTTTCCCAGAGGGGGCAATACCTACCTCCCCCCAGTGCTAGAACCAGCTAAGGAGTCTCAAAAGCAATACCTATACTTTATTCTAGATTAAAGGGGGCAATACGAAAGATTTTCATTGCAGGGGTTGCCATTTTTTTCCTTCCCCTGAAAAGGGGGTGTACACAAAATAAGTGCAGGCACCTATGCTCTATTACTCAGTCTCAGAACATCATTACATCCTCAAAATTGTCTGATGCCAAAGAGCTCTGGGTTATGCAGGGCATACCCCGAGGGTGTAGTAAGTGCTTCAACACTGACTCGTGGAAAAGGGAAGCTTTTGCAGATTTCAGCAGAGAACGTCTACAGTGGATGATTACCAATGCGATGCCATTTGACACAAAGATGGGAAATGCCCACAATCGACTCTCACAAGCCTTACAATCCTGCTCCACCACCCCTCTGGGTATACTTTCCATACTTGAAAGGTTTTTTGTTTTGTTTATAATTTAGCAGCTCATTGAAATAAAAACCAAGCTGACTGCCATCAAGTTCATCCCGCCAGAGTGACCCCATAGAAGAGGGTAGAGCTGTCTCCGTGGATTTCCAAGACTGTAACTCTTTATTTAGAGGAGTTGGTTGTTTTGAACTACTAACCTTGCGGTTAGCAGACCAAGTGTAACTCCTATGGCACCAGAGCTCCTAGACCCATGACATTCTAATAAAATGGTCTAAAAAAATAATCATACTTTTTTTTCATACTTTTAAAAAAAATTCCTAAAGAGGGTGGCAATAAGTCTGGCTTAACTTGATCAGAAAACACACATAAAGGTCAGCAGACAGACCTGGAACTATCTACTGGGCTTTTTCCTTGTTTTGCTTTTCTTTTGCCCTATGTCTATTTATATAAATATAAGATAGGCAAGATGAACAACGGGACTGGCAGTTCAGGGGGGACAGGGAGAGGATGGGGGCAGGGAGTGGGGAGTCAACAAACTCAGAGATAAGGGAACAACAAGAGATCTAAAATTGATGGCGAGGAGGGCTGTATAATGCCTGATAAGGTTTAATCAAGTGCAATGTATCTGAGAGGAATTACTGAGAGCCGAATGGAGGGTGATAATAGTGGGATAAGAGGAAGGTGAAAGGAAATAGAGGAAAGAAATCAGAAGCAAAAGCTATTTATAGAGGTATAGCTATAGACATGTATATAGGTCACTATATTAATTTATAATGAAAGGGATAGAGGCCAATGCATATATATTTATATGTTAAGTATTAAGGTAGCAGAAGGACTTTGGGCCTCTACTCCAGGCCTGCCTTAACACAAAAACACTTTGTTCTGATAACCTGGCACTTTGATACTCACCTTTCCAACACGATGGCTGAAGACAAAATGGGTGCATAAGCAAACATGGTAAAGAGAGCGCCTGGTGCCAGGCTATCAAGATATAGTGTCTGGGGTCTTAAAGGCCAGAAGTTAAATAAGCAGTCATCTAGCAGGGAAGCAAATAAGCCCACATGGAAGCATACCAGTCTGTGTGATCATAAGGGTGTCAATGGGATCAGGTATCAAAAGATCCAAAACAAGCAATGATATCCATGCGAATGAGGGGGGTTAGAGTGGAGCCCCAAAGCCCATCTGTACACAATTGGATACCCCCAGCCACAGAAGGGTTATAAGGAAGGGATGATTCAACCAAGGTGTAGTATAGTACCGCCTAATCACATATCATTCCTCTAGTTCTTGTTTCATCTCCCCAACCCCCATGACCCAGTTCTACCTTACAAATCTGGCTAGACCATAGAACACACATGGGTACAGATAAGAGCTCTCAACACATGGAATTCAGGACTGATAAACCCCTCAGGAACAGTAGTGGGAGTAGCAATATCATGAAGGGAGGGGGGTGGCCAGGGAGGGGGAAGGGGAAGAAAGGGGGAACCCATCACAATGTTGGATATATAGCCCCCCACTCCGAAGGAGACGAGTAACAGAAATGTGGGTAAAGTGAGACAACGGACAGTGTAAGGTATGAAATAATAATAACAATACTTAATTGATCAAGGACTCACGAGGGTGGGAGTGAGGGGAGGGAAGGGAAAAAGAGGAGCTGATACCAAGGGTTCCAGTAGAAAATGTTCTAGAAATGATGATGGCAACATATGTACAAATATGCTTGATGCAATTGATGTATGGAATGTTATAAGAGCTGTAAGAGCTCCCAATAAAATGACTTAAAAAAAAAAAAAAGAGTCTGGCTTAAATAAAGACAGCAAGATTCTCATATCTACTTCAGCATGGTCTCTGTGCAATATGTTGCTTTTGGTGCGGTACCTGAAGAAAACCTGGTCCTTATACACATTTATCGTTGGAAAAGGGACATGCATTTCAATAACTTCTCCAGAAAAAAAACACGACAGTCTTCTTTAATAAAATGCCCAAAGTCACTCAGACAGAGGAACAATTGTGAGGGTGGCACTCTGTGACACAGTCACTCTGAATCGGAGGCACTCACACCACCAGTTACTGTGCAGAATTGGAAACCACACCCAATGAGCTTTGCATGCTGATACCTGATAACCCATCGGTCCTTTTTGAACTTTGACTGAAACATTGACTCAAGTAAGATTTCATAATATTGTGGCATCATCACAGGGGAAAATGGCTCACTGAGTTAGGCAGAGCTTCCAAATGCTGGAATATTTCAAGATGTGCTATCAGAAAATCATACCGGTTACCACCATCTCAGCCTTATCACCAAAGTCGTCACTTCTGGGATGCTGACAAGTGGCAGAAACAAATTTTCCAAAATGTAAAATGTTTGCTTAAAATCTTGAATTTTAAGGAACTCTGACAATCAAATTGTCAGTTGTTTTCCTTGAAATGAAAGGCTCACTTATTCATTCTTAAGAAAATGTCTTCCAGATAGTAAAGTTTAATTAAACACAATATGGCCATTTGTTCATTTGAGACAAGATAATGGGAGGAGAGTCCAGTTCATGCATCTTGCCACAAGTAATAAATACCAATTGCCTCTCCTCAACAATGTCATCACACTTCAGCATGTGCATAGAACTGCTTTCTATGCCCCTCCCATTTCATTAGAATGGTCATTAAAAGTGACCTCAGTGCTTGAGATGTAACAGCCTCGACACGTTTTATTCCATCATCCAGGCTACGCTTAAGGGAAAACTTTTGGGTTTTTTTACTGCAAGTGCATGGCTATAAAAAATACGACGACTTGGTTTGTGCTAGGACGCCAGCAGTTTCCCCTCATGTGCTTGGTTCCATCGGTGCAGATGTCGATACAGTGGGGAAAACGGAAACCGCCTCTTGGCTTTATGACAAGAGCACCTACATCCTCACAAGCCTGACTCCGGGTCCCCCAGAGCATCCTTTGGAAATGGCTGC